TTTTTTTTTTTTTTTTTTTTTTTTCTCTTTTGATCACGGTGTCGCTGTATCTTTGGAACTAGAACTTGATATTCAGATTTCTTCAAAGTGTAAGAACTTACGTCAATGCTTAATCATCTCACCTGTTTTTTTCTGGCCTAACTCGGTTTTCTGATTCGAGTTTGTAATCAATGCAGAAAGCTCGTATTCAGATTTGGCTATTTGAGCAAAAAGACCTTAGGATCGAAGGCCGAATTATTGTAAGGTTTTGCTTATTGCTGCTTACTATTTTCTTTTTATACTGGCTATTTATGTAATGCGGATTGAAGCCTACGTTTTCCTATACGTCGATCTTTTGGCATGTATTCATGATTGATAGATGCTCCAACTTTATTGTTGGACAATTTACTCTCTCATATGCTCCTTACAGAAATCCTCTGATTTCAGTGGAGCACAGGACATGAGTGTTAAAAATATCTTCGATATCCTGGATAAAGACCTCAAGCTCCTACTTCACATCCACATCATGAATTTCCGCAAAATTTCTAGAGTTGAAACAAATTCAATCGTGTAGGCGGTTTATTAGGTACAAGTAGAATTGGAACCTACTTGAAATTCATGTTACGTAATAAATGGGCATGCCTTCAAGATTGTGCTTTAGTATTTCGATTTCCTTTTACATTGCTGTCAAAAGTTGCACACATGCTGGAAATTGGGTGAAATTTGGGACATAGCTTGAAATTGCCGCTCATGTTGGTTATCACCTAAACTCGCTCTTGGAATAGGAATGGATCATAGTACAGAATTCTAATTTCATATTTCTTTGTGTAGTTAGTGAGTGTTATTTGAATCTCAGTTCTAAATAGATCAAGTCTCTTATGGAAAAAATTTCACGGTTAGAGTTATATCTCAGTATTCTTTCCAATTCAACCAGACCGTTGGGGTTGGAACTAGGTTTCCCTGAAACCTCATAATGCCAAAGGCAATGGTCAATTACTTCTATGATCTGCAGTTTTCTCCATGAAATTGTTTCATCTTCTGTTGCCGGAGTGCACGCCTTGAAATGAAAATTGCTTTAAGCGATGTCCCCATGCCTGGTAATTGATTTCCTTCTGTCTATTCGTCCATGAAGTTATTTTATTCTTCCACATAAGGTTGCGCCCTGTTCTTACTCAATTAAGATGGTTTCCTTTCTCTTCTGTGCGCAATTCTCCTCATCAATCTATGAAAAATGTGACCAGTTCTGCAGAAAACTTTTCCTACCAAGGACTGAACGCTGTTTTCAGAATTCAGACAGCAAGCATGTTTGGTCGTTATTCCTCTTGTGAACTCAGTGAATCTAGTCTTTAGTCTCTTAACTTTTGATATTTAATTTAATGAAATAGCGTATTTCATGTCTCTTTCATCTACTTCATCTTAAAAATTACTGCAATGCTAGGAAGCACAAACACTTTGCTCGACAAAGTGTCTGTGTTAGACACAAATATGTTTGGACACACTCTCAACACTTGTCCAACACACAAAATTGCATGTTTCTTTTTTTTTAATAGTTAAGGACACGTCTCACACACAGGGGACATACCTAAAAAACCTCAAACCTTTGAAACGGGGCGGCACTGAGGTGAAGTTAATAGGGGGTAGAATGGAGGGAAATCACAAATGAAGGTGAAGAGAATAAATGAAGACGAAAGAATCCGTGGAAAAGAGGGCTTCGTGGGGTTTATTTCTAAAAGAAGTACAACTTTTTTATAACCTTTCATGTTGAGTCTGGCAAGTTGGGCTTTTGTTCTTTATTGGGTTTCTTTAAGTGGGCTTAGATGATTCAACATATTGGTCATTTAATTTTTATGCACTATTTTTAATTTGAACTTAAATTCAATAGGGATTTTTTCTTGATTCACGTTTTTTTAAAAATAGTTAGTAAAAAGGTATACTTTTTTCAGTTTGATTTTTTAATATTATCTAAATAACATAACGGGTCCTCAACATGTCCATGTCCTACATTTTTAGAAATTGGTGTGTTGTCATGTCCATGTCGTTTCTGCGTCTGTGTCCGTGCTTTTTAGTTGCAATGTAATTCTTCTTAGTTTCTTTTGTGCATCCATTGCTTCTGATTTCTATTCTAAGCAAGCAAAAAGCTTTAGCGATAGAGTCCTCGATGCACTTTGAAAGACATTGTTTGTAGTTCTACTGCAACTAATCTATCATACCCTGTCTCTGATCACTTTTTCCAATATATCTCATTCTGTAGTTCAATTATGTAATTAGGGAGTAAATAGTCTGCTCGTTGATTGTTAAGTGATCTCAGTATGCTGCTTATCTTTTCATTCACTAGACCCACTGCTAGGACCGTAATTTTCAGTGTTGAATGAATATTTCCCCAAGCCTTGGGCTTAGGTTTCCTCCCTTTTATAATTTCATACAATCTATGAAATTGTCCCTCACCCAAAAAAGATTGTTGTTTGGTCATCTAATTTTTCCCAATTAGCTAACAAAATTTATCTTGTAGCTTTCTCAACTGTTAGCTTATATGCCTCAGCTTCTGTAATTTACATCCAAGAATATGTTCATGGATTATCTTGAACTACAAAATTTGATTTTATTGGCCCTTCGTTTGTTGTACTTACCTATGTTTTGGCTGATTATTAAATGCTTTTATTATAACTTATACAGGAGGTAGTCAGTGGAAGCTGTTTCTTTTATATTAATGTAATCATTTTCTTGACCGAACAGGGATTTGACGAGTACATGAATTTAGTACTTGATGATGCTGAGGAAGTTAATGTTAAGAAAAAGAGTAAAAAAGCACTCGGTATGTCTTCTTTCCCCCTCATTTGCTGTTGTCTTCTCTATACTTGAGTGGCGTTATCTGAAATGCCTTTCGTTTTTCCCTTCAGGGAGGATTCTTCTCAAAGGAGACAATATAACGTTAATGATGAATACGTAAGTGAAATTGATCTTGCATTTCCTCTCCATTTCCCTTACACCAATTAACTTCTTTTTTTTCTTCAAAACTTCAGGGGAAAATGATGATCATCCAGCAGACCACATTATTGAGATAGTTTTCACTTCCATCGTATGGCGTTATAGCTTTTACAATCATCTTCCTTTTGGAATTGTATCTTTCAACGTTTTAATCCATCGATGATTAACGAGTTATTATTTGGATGTATAATGTTATTTTGCTGTTGGTAGATAATATCCTTTTATTCAACTCCTAATTTATC